TTCTGTTAAATAACCTTTAAGTTTACTTATGTGCATATTTAGGGCGGACTTATGACTAATGTGGCACGAGTATAAAGCTCACCAGACCATGGACCGTTGGATTTTGTCAATGGTCATCTAACGGTTGAGAATGAATGACCAGATGACCTTATGCAGACTATTATAATGGATGCAATGCAAAAGCCAAATCGTCGGAGAGCAGTCGAAATTCGGCCGTTTGACAATATGATCAACCCAACGGAGGATTTTTTAAATGTTAAGTTACGGTTTGGTTGTATAAAAGGACTCTTTAAAGAGAGAAATCAGCGAGCGCAACTGTCCGGTCCGCTCCGGAGCCTTAACTTCAGAGAGCGCAAATGCACCTCAAGGGCGTTGTCGCCGAGATCATCCACGACCCCGTGACCTAGTTACGGGGGTTTAGCTGCTGTAACTTTCAAAAACTAAAGGTGGTGATCTGATCGGAGCAAGCTCTAAATTTTTGTTCAACTACTAAGTAAACAGTGTTAAAAAAAAACTACTTCAGCTATTCAGTTAACTTTTTATTTTCAACAGTATTCCGTGTTATAGCAAAATTTGAGTATTTTATCATCAACAATTCAAACTTAACTCCTAAAACAGCATTTTTCATCTCCTACCTTTCTTATTGCTTAAGGCTTCACTCTTGAGTTTTATTATTTTTTAATATTTAGCAAATGAACAGTTGCTCCGTAAATATAAAGAGTAAATGTTTCATATTGTATTAAATACTCTTGTATAGAGTCTGCTTCGGATGCTCTCCGACTCAAAATGAGAGAGAATGAATGCATCACTTCTCAGTACACTTGCAGGGGTCACCCACACACTCGTTACAAACGATAGCAGTGCAATTATGAATTCTTCATTTCTCTAATTGGGAGTGGGATGCGAATGCTAAAGCAACAAAATGAGATTCCAAGAACATTTCTTTGTGACCTTTACCTCCCCTTACTAGATCAAATAGGCGAACTCCAATTAGGGAGGAAAATGTTAAGGAGATACTCTAAAAAATGAGACTTTTCATGAACTCTCTGTCATCTTATGTTTTTGGCATCATTCTTGTGTCAACATGATAAAATATTGTGCAAAAAATATAAAGTGGTGAAGAGCCTACAGAGAATAACTTAACTGGAGATGGTTTTATAGTTAGCACTAGCAATAGTGCCGGCGTGTTGCCGCGAGATTGAAAATTTATTTAATCTTATGCAAATTCATGAATGAAGAACTGAGCATTACAAATAAAAAGTAGAATGAAAATTTTACAAATAAAAAGTAGAATGAAAATTTAACTTGATAGAGAGACCTCAATGATCTACCTCAATTCATCATTCAAGACTTGGTCGAACTGTGATTCGCTCACTCCATACCTAAACACAAGAAAACCAAACCAAGTTCAGCAAGAATTATGCACGATCTTTGTGAAACTATATAATGAATGATACAACATTGTTAAACAAACATAGACTGGAGCTAATCTTAAAATTCATTTAAAAGGGAAGTGGAAAATACCGTTCACTTGAGATGCTAACTTAATGTTTCATCATTCAAATGATATTGCTTTTGAACCAAAGTATGAGGAAAAAAGAGTAGAAACCTGATTAGTAATTACCACTTCCAGCGGTACCACACTGCTAAGTTTTACTCTTCAAATCTCCAACGAATAAGGTCCTCTATAATTTTTGCCTAAGCACTAAAATAAGAAAATTGGTACATAGATGAAGAGTTAAGACTAGTTTCCATAAATCAATTGAGAACTACAATAATGTGACAATCTGCATGTATAACCTATGCGTTCATCCTTATAAGTTTAATCAGAATACCATATTTTCAAAATCATGGATGATTCAATTTTAACCTAAAAACCGAGACCATCTCCAGTCCTTGGCATATCAAATTTCAATAAATAGCCACACATGTGAAACAAACAAAAAGAAACAGATCTCAGAGATTAATAGCTTACCATCACGAAGATCTCCACGAGCAAGGCCGACCTAGACGTAATAAATCACGCAATGCCTCCAAAATATCCATGGAGAGTACAACACCAGAAACAACACCCAATGCAATTCGAATCCATAGTGCTATGGTAGAGAACGAAGAAAAAGTTACTTATTACAACCCTAGATTTTATAAGTGTCATCACCCCAATCTTGTACTTAACCATATACCATGGTGTTAGAAGCTTCTAATCAAAAAGCCTAGAAATCATAAAGCAAAGAACAAATCTTTTGTCTTGTAAGCAACCATGCCTATATAATCAAATTTTGTTTACCAAAGCGGTCTTACTAATATTATTCATAGAAAAGAAAAAGTAATAAAATGAAAATAAGATAGACCAAAATCTTTCTTTGAATTGAACTCACCCAAAAAAAAAAAAAAATTCTTCCAATTTAAAAGAGAATAAAATAAACCATACTTTCATACAATATCTTAATTGAATTAGGTTTTAGATTGAATAGATTGGAGGAGAATCGAGAGATACAATATAATAGACAACTTGTGTTACATCCCGGCCCGGAATCCCCACCACATTCCGGGCCCGCTCCACCACCGTAGTATGATATTGTCCATTTTGTGTGCCTATCACACTCTCACGGTTTTATTTCTGGGAACTCACACAAGAACTTCCCAGTGGATCACCCATCATGGGAATGCTCTGACAACTTGTGTCACATCCCGGCCCGGAACCCCCACCACATCCCGGGCCCGCTCCACCACCGTAGTATGATATTGTCTATTTTGTGCGCCTACCACACTCTCACGGTTTTATTTCTGGGAACTCACACAAGAACTTCCTAGTGGGTCACCACTCATGGGAATACTCTCTCGCGCTACTCGCTTAACTTCGGAGTTCCGATGGAACCTGAAGCCAGAGAACTCCCAAAAGGCTTCATGCTAGGTAGGGATGAGAATATACATATAAGGATCACTCTCATGAACGATGTGGGATGTTACAACTTGAGTGTAACAATCATTACCTTTTGATCTGTCATATCTGTGATTTATAGAAAGCCAGACAATTTTCTTCGGTGGCAATACATTTCTTCTCCCACTACCTCTCCAACCCGGCTGTCGCCTAACTAAAAAAAATGCAAAACCACACTTTAAATTTTGAAAAACTTTTCAAAATGAGGTAATTCTAATCCACTCCACTGCATATAAATAGTGCAGATAATATAAACAGTGCATATGTTGACAAAATGAAACAGAAATTATGTTGCACAACATATTTTGAGTGCAGATAATATAAAGTCGCATGGAGGAACAATAACAGCTAGGTTGCCTTCACGCATTGTATATTTATTGACCGTGCATAAGAAATGGAGGTCAATGATCTTAAGACTAAAACTGTCATCCAAAGATTTTCAACTTGAACAGAATTGCATCCAACTCAATCAACTGCTTCTGAAAAGCGTGAAAAAACCATGAATTTGTGCAATCACTAAAGACTCAATTACTGAAATCACAAAGAAGAATAACACAATTCTTGAAATGACAAAAGAAAAACAACCCACTTGATAAATTGATGAAATACAGGAATGGAGTATAAAATTCAATCATAAACTAAGAAGACTGAGAAAACATAAAGAAAAATTTCTTTTAAGAAAAGTTTTATACTTTAATATTTCTCAGGCTTAAAAACACTGTACTACACACATTGATGTAATCCAATCGATCAGATGGTTCAGGAGGCGAAAACCAATAACTAAAATATTCTGATTTCATGGTTTAAAAAAAAACAAAAAAAAAAAAAGTCTCTTCAGTCAAAAAAGTAAAAACTATAACTCATGAAAACTATTTAGCTAAATAGTATTCATGCAATTTTATGTCATAATAATGTATACATTCCTCTTCAATTACATGTACACATGTATTATGGTATACTATGTCTTGTTTTATATATAGTTAGTTCTGCAGTTTAACATAATTTCTTGTCGTCAAAATCAGCATAAGTAGAACAGTGTTTCCAACAACAAATAAGGGGAAACAAAAACCAAAATACTCAACACAAAAGATGCAATTTAAGAGCAACCACAGGATTACTCAAAGCAATGTTGTTGAATTTCAGGATACCGTCCAGATTACATCATTGTAAAAATATACAAAACTTTGTTTGGCATTGGGTCGGGGGAGGCTAGAAATTTTTTATCATGGTTGCACGATATTATTAAATAATAAAATCACAAAGAACACAAGCAAGGAGCAATAATCGCCAAATTGGTTATTGTTGCTTTCATGAACATAAACCAAATGTTCCGTGTCAAAAGACTTTTCCTTCCTGAATCTAAATCCAAAAAAGGATCATGAGGGGATCCGTTAGCAATTTACCACTTTGTTACAGTTCAGGACAGTACAAAAAGGAAAATCCTTCTCTTTTGTCTATTAAATGAAAAAAAAAACTAAATAAGAGATGAGAGAAAAGGAATATGAATAAAAATGTGTGTAGCAGTTATTGTTAGAATTCATCTGTCCCACATCAGCCACAGAGCTTGAGAACAAGCCCTTTAAATATAATTACTCCACTCTAACTAACACCGAGGCCTTTTGGATAAAAACCCCACACCTGACGGATTGAACATGTGGCCAAGTGGGGACAGTATCGGTGTTGTTAGAGTGGGCCCATGACCCGTCTACCTGAAATTTAAGATGGTATAAGAGCCAGGGGACGGGTTCGTACATCCACGTGAACGGATGGATTCCCTTTGGCCCCACGCAAATGGGTGAACCCTGACATGGCTCCACGTAGGCCAAAAGATGCCACGTGCATTGGCCCAACGTGAACGGGTGAGCCCCAGCTTGGGCTTGGCTCTATGTGGTTGCGGATGTGTAGAACTTCACGTGTGACCCATAAAATAAGGTCTCACGTGCGGGGGAGTATTAGAATTTCTGTCCCACATCATCCACAGAAAGCTTGAGAACATGCCCTTTAAATAGAATTACCCATTGAGCAGAGACAGGAGAAATAAAAGCTTTAGAAGGCACTACTATTTTTTTATTTTTTTTTCATGTTTCAATTTGTTTTTCAATTCAATTGTCAATGCTATTTGCTTTTTACTAACCTATGTTTGTTGTTTTTTATAGTATACGAACATAAAAAAGCCTCCAAACCTCCAAAGAAACCAGCAAGATTCTTTAAAAAAAATCACAAGAGAGAAACTCTGCAGGTTTTGAAAATCGCTGTGAGCAGAGTTACTGAGCTGCTTAGGTTCCTTTCCTCCTTCAACAAACATCCAGGTTTTTTTTTTTTTTTTTCCACATTTTACCCTTCTCAGATTCAATCTTTGAGATTTCCGAATTTTTGAGCTTTCAATTTTGTGTGGGGTTGAGAATTTGGATTAATTCTAGGGTGCTTTAGATTTTGGCCCTTACAATTCATTATTTCTAGATAAAAACCCATCTATCTTTAAAGATCCAGTTTAAGTCCTAATTTAAAATTTGCAAACATATAGGAACACTATTGACCTATTAATGCAATTTATTTACACTCATGCCACTCATACTTTATGGTCCCTTTTTCAAATTCCTAAATTTATGCCAAATTAAAAGTAGTAGAAAAAGTGAAATAAAATGAAAAAGTGTTTGCATTAACCGTATCTATGTTAAACTAGAAAAGTAGTTTTTTTTTTTCGTGATATATTTTGTAGCAATTTTATCCATATTAATTGGTAGGTAAATTAGTTTGTTCCAATTATTTAAAAAAAAAATACTACACCTATATTATATATTTTGAATCAAATAACATTCCTCTAACTTGTAGGTAAATTATTTTATATGTATTGTTATATATGTTAGACACGTTTTATTGTTGTATAAACATGAGTGGAACATAATATTGTTGATTTTATACATCAAACTGCATTTCTTTTGTTATAGGTAAATTATTTTCCATGTACAAGTACTTATGTTAGGCAAGTTTAGTTGTTGGTACCTACACCCATGGTATAATTGGTGTAGGTAAATTATTGGAAATTAATTTGTAGTTAGATAATGAACATTTTGCATCATTGGAAATGAACATTTCAAAGAGTAGGTAGGTAAATTAATTTGTTCTAATTATATAAAAAAAATTACACGACACCTAGTTATATTTAATTTTTCCAATTATTAAAAAAATTTATGCTACACCCAACCAAATAACATTTCTATAACTTGTAGGTAAATTATTTTCCATGTATTGTTAGATATGTTAGGCACGTTTTATTGTTTTATAAACATGGGTGTAACATAGTATTTTTAATACTATGCATCGAACTACATTCCTTCTTAATATAGGTAAATTATTTTCCATGTAATTAGTACATATGTTAGGCACGTTTTTTTGTCGGTATATTATTTTGCATCATTGTAAAAAAGAGATATTATATTATACCCATGGTATAATTGTTGTAGGTAAATTAATTTGCATGTAGATAATGAAATACAATGTTCTAATATATTAATAAAAAGGGATAAATTCAAAAGTATTCAAGAGTAGGGTGAAAAAACTAAATCGAATAGTTTTATGAAAATTCAAAACCTTTCTAAAAAATTAATATGCAATAAATTTTTAACATTAATGTCTTTTTTTTTTCTTGTTGCAAAATCATTTACTATTTCCTTACAATTAATTGTCTACATCAAGTATGTAATAGGGGTATTTTAGGCATGTGAAAAATGTAAAATGTGTGAATTAATATGAAGTTAATGAATTTGCTTATGTGGATCCTAGTCATTGGGTTTTCTTTGAGTAAAAAAGTTATGTAGGGTTTTATATAAAGAAAATTGAGTTTGAAGGCCTAAAGTCATATTTTCACTTAATTCTATGATGTTTTAAATTATTCTTGATTGATTGGGTTTAGGGGGAGGGAGGGGAAGGAGCAGAGAGAAGCAGAAGAGACGAGGCGGAAGATGGAGGAAGGAGAGTGGAGAGAAGAGAGAGAAACAGGCTGGGTCTTGTTTAGGGATGGGCAAAATACTCATGGTTTGGGAACCGTGGTTACCCGTTCATTTAAAATTCACAGTTATGGTTATGGGTAACCGTTTAGATGAACAAACGGTTATGAGTATAACCGTTTATCCGTGAAATTTAAATGGACGGTTATGGGTATTACCCGCGATTATAACGGGTATTCATTTACCTCTTTAATTTAATATAGATAAAATTAAAAACTAAATTTTCTATCTCTCTGCCAGACTCAGAGTCTCAAACGCTTTATCCCCCACTCATCTCTCCCCCACCGCCGCCCTCTCTCTCATCTCTGCCTCTTATCTATCTCTCCTCGCTGCCTTCCTCCCCTTGGCCTTGCCCTAAGTTCTGCTGCTCGTCCATGGTCACCTCCATATCAAATACAAAGAGAGAAAAAGTTGTAGAGAGAGAAGGGATTAACAATTGGAAATTGAATTAATATTTTTTTGTGTGTGAATTATGTACATTATTATTATTATTATTATTATTATTTTGAAATTGGAAATTTCAGGGTTTGTGTTATTTAAAATTCTGGAGTTTGCAAAGAGAAAAATGAAAGAGTAAGCAGCGCAATGAGCGTTTGTTTTTATAGCGAAGGAGAGAAGGGGACAGTGAGAGAGGAAGGTTGAATAGGAAAGTTTCGGAAAGTACCCGCCCCGATTATTTGGAGCCCAAACCTACCGTTCCTGGCGTCTGTTGGGTTTAGCAGAAAAATATCGTTCGTAAATTATTATTTCAATTATTGGAATTGTATGAGGACTTAAATTATTAACATAGGAAAACACATGCTAAAATGTACCTATAATGATGTTTAATTGTCAGATAATGACAAATTTTTCTTTGTAATTTTCAAGTTGTTAAAGAAAACATGTAGACGGGTGAAAATGGGTAAATGGGTGAAAAAAGGATAAACGGGTTCAAAAATGGGTAAACGGGTAAATGGTTATGGTTAAATAGGTACACAGTTATGAGTATAACCGTTTATGCAATTACCCAATGGGTAAATGGTTATACGGGTATGAACATAAATGGTTATGGGTAAATAACCATGGTTACCTACCCACCATAATCGTTGCCCATCCCTAGTCTTGGAGTTTTGTTGGGGTTTTGTTTGAATTTGGGGAATTATCATTGATAGATAGCATAACTCTTAAATTTCAGGTAGACGGGTCATGGGCCCACTCCAACAACACTGATACTGTCCCTACTTGGTCACCTACTCAATCCGTCAGGCATGGGGTTTTTATCCAAAAGGCCTTGGTATTAGTTAGAGTGGGGTAATTCTATATAAAGGGCTTGTTCTCAAGCTCTATGGCTGATGTGGGATATAGGAATTCTAACATTCCCCCACACGTGAGACCCTATTTTATGGGTCACACGTGGAGTTCCACACATAGGCAACCATGTAGAGCCAAGCCGAGGCTCAGCCGTTCGCACTGGGCCAATTCACCTGACATCTTTTGGCCTACATGGAGTCATGTCAGGGCTCGCTCATTTGCGCGGGGCCAAAAGGGACTCACCCGTTCACATGGATGTACAGACCTATCCCCTGGCTCTGATACCATCTTAAATTTCAGGTAGACGGGTCATGGGCCCACTCCAACAACACCAATATTATCCCCACTTGGCCACCTGCTCAATCCGTCAAGTGTGAGGTTTTAATACAAAAGGCCTCGGTGATAGTTAGAGTGGGGTAATTCTATTTAAAGGGCTTGTTCTCAAGCCTTTTGGCCAATGTGGGACAGAGGAATTCTAACACTCCCCCGCATGTGAGACCCCATTTTATGGGTCACACGTGAAGTTCCACACATCGGCAACCACGTGAAGTCAAGTCGGGGCTCACTCGTTCACGCGGGGCCAATGGGGACCCACCCATTCACGTGGCATCTCTTGGCCTACGTGGAGCCAATTTAGAGCTCACCCATTCCCGTAAGGTCAAGGGGGACCCACCTGTCCACATGAATGTACGGGCTCATCCTCTAGTTCTGATACCATCTTAAATATCAGGTAGACGGGTCAAGGGCCCACTCCAACAACACCGATACTGTCCCTACTTGACCACCTACTCAATCCGTCAGGTGTGGGGTTTTAATACAAAAAGCTTCAGTATTAGTTAGAGTGGGGTAATTCTATTTAAAGAGCTTGTTCTCAAGCCTTCTGTGGCTGATGAGGAACAGAGGAATTCTAACAGGGATTGATCATGACATCTAGCAACTAATAATATATGCATTCTCTAACCTAAGAATGAAATAAGAACATACAGTTTTGTGAGCTGCAGAGCCACCATACTTCTGCGCAAGATGCTCTGGTGCATATTCTTTCGAGCCGCACCAGTCATGCTATCAGGATTACACAACAATAATTATTCGAAGATTAGAAAGAAATTATATAAGGTTTATTATTTACTTTAATCCTTTTTTTTTTCATCTTGCCTGAATTATTTTCCCTGGATTACAAGTGACAACTGCCTCTTTTGTAGAGAAATGGATTTTCTGCTTGTCTTGACATTGTTCTGACTTTTAATCAAAGTAAAACTCAAAGACAAATAGAGACATGCTTATTTTCGTTCACGAAACTATCCAGAGGGGTGATAAGAGAAATTTTGCAAGTTAATTCATACATGATTTCTAGTTCACATAACTAAAAATTATTGTAGACAACCAACAACATCAAAAGAGATTAGCTTGTTAAACCGGTTGTATTTTTATATTTTCATTTTCATGTACTAGCAAGGAAACGATAATATATTCCAAAATTAGCAGCTTATAGAGAAATATAAATATTGTTTTCAAAGAATTAATATGATTGCAAGTGTAATAGTTCCATATATAGTGAGATTGGAGAAATGATGGAAGACGCACCGAGATTTGAGGTCCATAGGTTGAGAAGAGTCCATAGCACTGATCTATATGTTGATATTTGCACAAATCTACAGGTCAAGTTTTTAAACAAAGAATCGATTTATTAGCAATTGCGACATTCATTATTTGTAAAAACAAAGTTGTTGATTCACATATAAACAAATGAAAGCAATCGAAAAAGAAAAGCTTACCACAAGCTGGCTTAATCCAAGCTCGAAATGAGCTTACCATAGGCTAGCTTAATCCAAGCTCGAAATGATAGCAGATTTGAAATTGTATTAACACTGTGTTTGAAAGATGTAAAAATGGTATCACAAAAAATTAACATTAGTGAGAACAGATAGGTTAGAAAACACAATCAAACAATTGGTATTTGGCGGCAAAACTTAAAAACCAAAAATGCACTTTAACGCCCTAGAGAGAACATAATTGTAAGCAAAACGTAGAATATTGAAAGAATATTGAGACAGTCACGAAATAAGTTTATTGGTTTGCTAATATTTGATTTACTAGGTTCCAAGTTTGTCTCAATTTATCATTTTCTGTTAAACTGAAAGTGTAAACATTTAGGTACTCACCAAGAAAAAAACAATTAATTGATGCTAAATACAAAACCGGCTGACCTTGAAATATAAACCAGAGAAACTAATTGAAATAATCAAATCCCAAATTCAATTTCAAAGGTAGATAAGAGTCATGCAAAGGTGTGGCAGATGACTATAGACCATAATGAAGCTACTTTTACAGTTATTTACTTCCTTACATGATAAATACGGTCTAGCTAAGCTTCTATACCTTTTTAGTAGGAATTAATCTTAATTTATTCAGGTTAAATATATCTTATTTATGTAGTTAAGACGGGTGCATTCAAGTCCCGCAGTAACGCATAGGCATATTTTCTCATTAACTCTGCTTCCAAGGCATCCACCTGACAAACAACAGCATTCGGCAATTCCAAAGGGAGTCCTTCTGAAAGTCCTTAAAACAACTCAATCAAAATGAACGTAGAATGAAAGTCAAATGTAAAATCAAAATGAATGTAGAATCAAAATAAAACATTGGATATAACACTATAGAGTCTAAAAACTGAAAGGGTTAAAATAGTCCAACTTCGAACTGATTACCAAGTATAGGTTGAGTGGCGAAATTTGTGAAGTGTAAGATTGTGAATTTAGGACAATATATTGAATACCAGTATACCATTCAAATAGAAGGAGATCGAAACCAAAAAAGAGAAAGAAAAAACAGTCCGTAACAAAACTAATACAAAATTGACCCTGCAAAACTGTTAATATATTAAAAACTAAATGTTTCAACAAACTATATACTTCAGCAAAAACCCCAAAATTAGAACACCAGCGTTTCCTGAAAGCAAAAAATAATGAAATCAGACAGCCACACATAGCATCCGAGCACACAAAAAAACCCCCAAAATTATAAAAAGAAAATTCAAACACAAAATCCATCTGTAAATCGAAAACAACCAAAAAAAAAAAATGGAATGGTGGCACATTTAGCATTGGGGCTTCAGAAACTATTTAGTCATAACTTATCACCTTTTACTACTGATGGTATGTATGTAACTTTAGTTTTTTAGCACCGTCCTTAGTAATTTGAATTGTAAGCTTGTTGTTTGATGTATGTTGTTTGTTTGCTCTCTGAAATAAGAAGTTATTTGATTTTGCTTGCTCTCTGAAATAAGTTCTTTGATTTGATTAAATGTTGTTTGATTGTGTACAAGAGCTGCTGTTTGAAAAAGAATCCACCATTGCCAAGGATATTTGGATTTTTGTTTTTGCTTGTTGTTGCTGCCAATATCAAGAGACCAATGCATATTTCCTTTAATGCTATTTGAATATTTCTTTTTGCTTCTTGTTGTTGCTACTGCTGCCAATATCAGGATGACTTTTTTGTTTGTTGATTGACCAATGCATATTTCTTTTAATTGTCTCTTTTTGTTGACTTGGTGCCACTAACTAAAGACATTTGCATTAAAAAGGATATATGTTGTATGCAACTTTATATACTTAGTTTTAGAAGATGTATTTGAATGCATGATAATTTGGTGTTCAAATAATTTAGTATTCAGAATCGTAAACCGGCAAGAACTGAATCGGAACCAGTATAAACCGAACCATACGACTCCAGTAATAAATTTAAGCAGAACCGCACCAAATTGAACCGTTGATATTTTTCGGTTTCAATTTAGGAGTGGAATTGCACCAAACCACACCATGCTCACCCCTAATGGTCACAAAAAATTTCGAAATAACGATTCAATCGGTTTTTTTTTTTTTTTTTCTTTCTTTCTTCTGTCTATAATTTCTGGTCTCGGTTCAGTTTCCTGTTTGGGTGGTAACAAAATCATGAGTAGAGTTATGGTACTTAAGCTGGATTTTCTAGTAAACCAAACAGGAAATTAACAAACTCAAAACAATAGTAAGTCTTGTGGTTCTTTCCATCCGCTCGACTTCGGTGGTCAAGAAAGATCTGTTCTAAAATTAGAATTGAATAAGCTTCAGGATGATGATGTTTTACCTTTTAATTGTACTCTGTGCATTGCAGTCACGGCACTTCATGATTTTTACCAGGCCCTTAACAACCCATCAGTGCTGAAGGGGTGGCAATCGGATGGTGGGGATCCTTGTGAAGAGTCATGGGATGGAGTTTCATGTGCTGGTTCCTCTGTGATATACCTGTATGTAATGCAACTCTTCCATTCACCATATTATTAACTATGTAAATATTGTTTCTTTGATCACCTTAACATTGTTGCAGCAAACTTCGTAGTCTGACCCGTTTTGGATATATTCCTGAGGAGCTCCATACGCTGTTCAATTTAAAGCACCTGTAAGCGACAGTTTTGCTGTTTTTTTTATTTAATTGACGTACGGTTGTGGAATCGCAATTGTTGCTGAATCTTAATTTTCATCTGGGTTCTTCTTCTTAAAGGGATGTTAGCTCCAATAACTTTGTGGGTGCAATTCCTAATGCATTACCCTTTATAGGTTGGATCATTTTTGTGAACCATTACTTTTTCGATAATTTTAAGGATTCTATGCAGAAATCTGGCATGCAACAATATGGTGGAAAACATCCCCTACTCCTTGCCTCTCGGTCTTCAATATTTGTGAGTTCAATATTCCCTGACTGCTGCCTAATCGAGTCTATTACTGGTTTTGGATCATGATTAGCCATAAAACTGAAATGCTCCTTTATTTTAGGAATCTAAGCCACAATTTGTTATCCGGACCTGTTGGGGATGCATTTACTGGTCTGCGGAATTTAAGACAACTGTATGCTTCTTCTACACCTTTCAGATTTGAAGTAGATACTTTTTCAATGTTTGATTTGAATCTTCCAACAAGGACTCAAGGACTCCTTATTGACAGAGATTTGGACAGATAGACAAGCAAGCTCGAAGCAGTGCTGTTACTCCAAGCTGAAGGTGGTCTTCAATTGTCTGACTCTATGGCTCAAGTACTATTAATCCAAACTGAAGATATGGTTGGTTGTTAACATAGTGCTGTTAATCCAAATTGAAAGTGTGTTAACGAAGTTGGGGATGTTAGTGTCTTTTTAAAGGTTTAAGTGGGTTTCACGTAGAGTAATAATTTATGCAATGTAGTTTTGTGTGTTAAGTTGAAGGTCCTCTCTATCAGTTGTAGAACACCTTATATTTATAGTAGTAATGCATTTTCCATGTTGTAGAGTTTTTCTTCCCGTTAGTAACTATTTGCCAGAAATAATATTCTCAAACAATCCCACGGATTGCATCATTCTCAGACTTATGATTATGCCAAGGCCTATCTCCATATGATTGTCTACCACCATCTGGCCATATCACTTTCTAAGACTCTTAAAACCATCTTTAAACGAGATATCAAATTTTAACATAAATTTAAAATTTGACACCCTACGTTATATTTTAACATCTTCTAAATTTTGATCTCTACTCAAGATATCAAATTAAAGTATTATTTTATGGGAAGACTGATGAATAAAAGCGCTTATCCCGCACGCCCACAAAATATGATTGCACACATATTACTCCTTATGTGCAGACTGTCCTCGTTACCCTTGAATTTTATTATGCTTTTTAATATTTAGCATGAATAGTTGTTCGGTAAATTTAAAAGTGGTTGTTCATTTTACGAACAAAAAAAAACTCTTTTATAGAGTACGTTAAAAAGGGATTTTTTTTTTTTTAATTTTGAATTTTGAATTTTTCTCTTTAAAATAGATATTTGGTTATTTTACAGCGTCTATTGAAGATGCTCTAAGTCCAACTCTATTTCACAAGGGTCATGTTTAGAGAAACAAATTATGTTGTTGACGCTAAAAACAAATTTGGGTCATAATGTTAAGATTGTGCATTAATGGGTTAGAACCATTTCTATTGATGTTATGAGGTATTTTTTAGTTTGGTTTTATTGAATTATGTTATGAGAGACTCAATATAAAAACAAAATCTATAATGTTTATGAACACTTTTGGACGTTCAAAATTTTTTATAATGTTCAAGAGTATAAAATATTCCAAAAAATTAACCGGATGAGATTTATAATAGAAAACAAAAAACCAAAATGTAACAATTAAAAAGACTAAAATATTCGATATTAATTAATCTTTCTAGAACCCAAGACTTTGGGCTTGTGCTCGGCCTAGCCCAGTACTCTAGCAAACCCCGAGAAGTGGCTCCCGCGAAGAAACGAAACAAACGGCTTTGTGCCTACGTGGACTCCGGCTACTCAACGACTCGTCAAGACATTCCCCTCTCTCTCTCACTCTCTGCAACCTCCAGAGCACACATTCTCTCTCTCTCTCTCTCTCTCTCCCTCTGTGTGCCCGCTGCTTCCTCCGCAGGTTCATCTACAAACCTAGTTTTTCTGTATTTCAATTCACCGCTCCGACGTCGTTTTCGTCTCTAGATATGTATACTTGATTTGCTTTTCGGTCAATTTTACTTTCTTTCTCTTCACACTTTCCATTCCGTTTGGTTGCCGAGAAGGTGCAGGAAAACGAATGAAAGTTCATTTCACTTTGTTCACGTTTCTCTGACGATTTTCTTTACGATTGAATGCTGCAGTTGCATTCTTCGAGAATATGGCTGCCAAACGGAGTATGCGCGTGTGCTTCGCCGTGGTTTTCATCTCGTTGGTTCTGGTTACAGGCACCGGAGCATTTACCGACCCGCCTGACGGTAAATCTTGATCTTCTCTTCCGATCGTTCCTTTTCTTGCTGATTTTCTTGGCGTTATATAGTCTTTTCAATGTGAAAGTTGATGAAGTTTGTTGTTTTGGGGGGCGTTATCTCATGTTTCGTTACCGGGAAAGTGTAGGAAAATTGGAGAAAGGATTAGGGAGATAGGAAAGAATCCGAACCTATAAGCTTTCTGTTATTCAGGGCGATTAGATTAAGGTCTGGAAATTTCTACATTTTCCCGTAATTTCTTCTGGATATAAAATTGGGGCCAACGTTTTGGCGGGAAAATAAATAGAACCGTCGTTTGTGGAAACGACTTGTCGTTTTTATACTGTAGAAAAAGTAGCAGTCTTTGTTCTACTTCTTTGCAGAGTAGTGTGGTCACTAAAGTAAAAATCGAAATTCCTGTTTGGGTGCTAAGAAAATGATGAAATTTATTTCGGAATAGAATCATGGTTCTTAAGCTAGAATTTCTAGGGAACCAAACAAGAAATTTACCTTATAATTATACTTTGTGCATTGCAGTCACGGCTCTTCATGATTTTTACCGGGCCCTTAACAACCCACAGGTGCTGAAGGGGTGGCGATCGGATGGTGGGGATCCTTGTGAAGAGTCATGGGATGGAGTTTCATGTTCTGGTTCCTCTGTGATATACCTGTATGTAATGCAACTCTTCCATTCACTATATTATTAGCTGTGTACAAAACTTAATATTTCTTTGATCACCTTAATAATATTGCAGCAAACTTCGTAGTCTGAATCTTTCTGGATATCTTCCTGAGGAGCTCTATAATCTGTTCAATTTAAAGCAACTGTAAGTGATACTGATTGATCATTTTGTGCTCCTTTTACTTTGTGTACACAACTGTTGCTGAAACGTAATTTTCATCTGGTTTCTTCTTCTTAAAGGGATGTCAGTTCCAATAACATTGTGGGTGAAATTCCCTATGTCTTGCCCCCTAATGCCACCCATATGTAAGTATGATATTAATTCATTGCCATACCATTTTTTTAGTAAAATTCCACAAATTTGGATCGTTTTATCTCTACACTTCCTTCTAATTTTTATAATTCTGCACCTGTAGAAATCTGGCATGCAACTATTTGACCCAAAATTTTCCCCATTCTTTACCTACCATGAAAAGTCTCCAACATTTGTGAGTAGCTTCTTCCAGACTGTTATCTTACTGGTTTATGGGTTCTTGGTTATTATGCGATAAGCTGAAATGTTCCGTTCTTCCAGGAATCTAAGCCACAATTTGTTATCGGGACCTGTTGGCAATGTATTTACAAGCCTACAGAATTTAAGAGAACTGTACGTTTCTTTTCATATAGTTCTTATAATGTTGGATTCTAATTTCTAAGTGAGGTTGAGATAAGGTTACCTTTGATTCTCTGCGTTGATGGTGGAATAAAATATGACAGTATACAAGAGTTCCCCTACTTTTTGTTTTCTGTATTGGCATATCAGAGGTTTTGACTTTTCTTTTATCTTAAATGAAGAGAATCAGAGCATAATTCTCATTGGATAAAATTGTAATCTGTTTGATATTTAAAATATTGTCATTGGACAATATCCGTTTCTTATTTGTAAGTTTGATTTATGCAGTGATTTGTCATACAATAACTTCACTGGAGATCTACCAAGTTCTTTTGGTTCCATGACTAATCTCACTGCATTGTGAGTTTTCGTTCCTTTCCCCCCGCTTGCAGTGTTTTAGGGCTTGGTATAATGTGTTTCTATAGTTACATGTCCATGGGTGCATCTGCAGGTTCTTGCAGAATAACAAATTCACTGGATCAGTTGCTTTCCTAGCTGAGCTTCCACTAACTGATCTGTAGGTTTCTGCCTACCTGCCTTTAGCAGCGTTTTGCATTTAGTTGATCTTTTTTCTTGATTTCTTGCTTGCACATTTTCTGTTGGCAGGAACATACAAGATAATTATTTCAGCGGCATCATTCCAAATCATTTTCAGTCCATACCAAATTTATGGTAAGTGATCGGTTGTGATAACGTCCTTATTTGCCTGCAAGGGAAAAAAACTGAACATTGTTGGTTTGATTTCCTTTCAGGATTGGGGGTAATAGTTTTCATGTAGGGGGTAACTCTCCACCTTGGGATTTTCCTCTGGAAACCCAGGCAAGTTCTGTCATACAAAACATTCCTGCACCCCCAGCCACTCATTCAAGTTCCACTGAGAAGAATCCCCCTACGAAATTAGGTGGACACAAGAAGAAAAGGATGAGCCCTGGAGGAATAGCATTTTTGGTTGGTGGAGGCACTCTAGTGGCATCATGTGTGGCACTTTACATGGCAGTTCGCATTAATCAATTGCGTGCACAGAAACTTATAACCTTGGGGGGAAGTAACAGCTCAAGGAATTCTCTCTCAATAAGAACCACTGCCAGAGGTAAACTCTCACTCGCTTCCATAGTGATAATGATTATGATGTTTAAGTAAACAACTTAAGTATGCACACACACCCACAGAGAAACGTAGATGAAACATCAAATTTACGAAATAATTCAACTGTTAAGACTCAATCTTAGAAGTTCACAATATTTACCTGATAACATATTGTATCATCTCACTGATTAGTTATCATTTTAGCTTTAAAAGTGAAAACTTAGGTGACAGTGTCATCCGTATAATCAACATGGTGTTTTCATCTGAATGTTAAAATAGACATTAGACTCTCATTTGAACTTGTTTTAATCCATTTCCTGTGTTTTAATCTTTCTTTTTGTTCTTCTAATTTTTGTTTCCTCCTTTGGTTACAGATGGTTCTTCTATTGCAGAAGAAAGCCCATCAATGCTTCCCTTCAGGTCACCCATGCTACTTCCAAGGCGACTGCCTCCGGTTTACCATAGCAGACTGGAGAAAAATACTAGAAGAAAATGTTTCTCTGATAAATACAAATACCCAATGAGAGCAAAACTTTACACTCTGGCAGAGCTTCAATTAGCTACAAACAGCTTTAGTGAAGAGAACTTTCTGGGCGAAGGATCTCTTGGTTCGGTTTACAAAGCTGTGCTTCCTGATGGCCAGGTATAAACCTGAAATAACCTTTGAATAGTTATTTCCACTTATAGAAACAGTAAATTCCTATCTCATGAGAATCCTTCGACTGTTATTTCTTTATTGCAGACGTTGGCTGTGAAGCACATCAACATTGTAGGATTGTCTTTTAATGAAGAGGAACAATTCTTGGATGTCATATGGATTGCTTTGCGTTTGAGACACCCAAACATAGTACCACTTGTTGGTTATTGCATAGAGCATGGACAGCATCTTGTTGTCTACGAGTATGTTAAAAATTTATCCCTTGATGATGCTCTTCACAGTGATGCTTACAAGCCTCTGTCCTGGGGCCTCCGTCTCCAGATTGCTCTTGGTGTTGCTCAAGCTTTGGAGTAAGTATTCTATATTTTTCTCCCAACAAGTTCATATGTCCTAATGAAAAGTGGATTTTAATCACAATATACCTACAAACTTAAAGACTTCCTTATTCCAAGGGAGCAATTGATCCCTTCACTGTTAGGGAAAATGTAGATATCCTCGTTAGTGATTTGTATTGGTTATTTTTCATTTCAGCCATCTGCACTCTACATTCTCACCTCCAGTTGCTCATAGAAACTTGAAGAGTGCCAATATCCTACTTGATGAAGAACTTGCTCCTCGAATCTGTGACTGCGGACTTGCAATTTTGAGGCCACTAACAAGCAATAGACTCAAGCTAAAGGTATATCTATACTTTCATAAACCAGTTCTATTTTCCACTAGAGACCATCATTGAAAGTTATCTACTACTGATAAAACAATTGGTAATAAACCGGAACCAAAAGACAGCTTTAAATTCTCATTGATATCTGATGCAAACAGACTTCGGAAGATGCTATTGGTGACTCTGGCTATATTGCACCGGAGCATGGCCAACCGGGAATTGATAACACAAAGTGTGACATCTATGCCTTTGGAGTGTTGCTTTTGGAGCTATTAACAGGAAGGAAACCTTTTGACAAGTATGTATGGTTCATGCCCCTTTTTTTTCTCAGTTCTTAAAGTTATTCTTGTCATGTTTCTTGATCATGAACATATTCTGCTCGTTTATCGTTGTATAGTTCAAGACCAAGGGAGGAGCAATCACTGGTGAAATGGGCTTCATTTCGGCTTCATGACGTTGAGAGTCTGGCTGTGATGATCGATCCAGGCATTAAAAGGACATTTCCCTCCAAGAATCTCTCCCAGTTTGCAGACATTGTCTCCCTCTGTATCCAGGTAGAAAGCATATACCTTAAATTATGCATTGAGATAATCTCTGTCGCCTTAGGGAAGTCGGAAAAGAACAAAGGATTCTAATGCTCTTATTATTACTTAAACTATCACTTAAAAGCTGTGTTCCTGAAACTGTTTAATCATTCAGATTTGAAGAAATGGTTTTGTTTTAAGCTGCTTACGAACTCTGAACGCGGCTTAACTTGTATGTGAACATGAACAGCCTGTGAAGGAATTCCGACCGCCAATGTCTGAAGTTGTGGGATCACTAACAAGACTAGTAGAGAAACACAATGCCATGGGGAAAGGCAATGGCGCAGCTGACCCGTTCGAAAGATCATTCCATTCAACTAACAGCCAGTTCATGGGCTCACCTACAGTGAGCTATTTGTCCATTTGACAAAGCCAGCCAGTGGTACTGATCGGTACACACGCACAAACCAAAGCTACAGCATCGATCGAGATGTTTGCCAAGGCATTCTTTTCATGGTTGGCATATTTGGATGGCAATATTTACCATGAGAAAGCATATTGTCATGTTCAATGATTCTTTGAGATTTCTAAAGACATTTTCTTTTGAAGTTGAAGCAAAAAAAGGGAACCATGACCGGAAAAATGTAACCCGAGACGGGGATAACCCTGTGTATTATCCAATTTGGGCAAAGACGGAGAGAAAATAAGATTTCATTTCCTTTTCTGCACACCTAAAACGTTTCACCGCAACAAATTACACTAATAATATGAGACAGGTGCACCGGGAATTTGAATCTCATGTCATATTGTAAGCACTATGAACAAGGGCAGGCACGGATATGAAAACAACGAAGCAGTTAAAAGGGCATTGACTCTCTCCAGCTATTAACAGGCCTTCCATCAAGTTCCATGAATGAAAGAGAAGAAGTGAATCCTTATGCACTAAGGCCGCTAGTCAAAAGGGTATTGATCTCTCCAATTATATTAACAGGTCTCCCATCAAACATCGATGAAAGGGTGCTTTCACACAGTTTCTTCAGTTCACGGGTTTTTGTAAGTGCAGCTTCCTGCCATTGAATCACCGGGAGTCAGTACTTTGTGCAAAAAATTCAAACCGAAAATAACAAACAAAGTGAGCAAGTGAAAGGGAGAAGAGTTGACACTTTTCCACGTGACATGAACTGAACTTGATAGAGGTATTGATTGTTAGTTTACGCAGAACATAAAGGAATACAACCAGTAATTAAACACGATAATTAAGCCTGTTTAATCGGTCTTGTAGTTAGGATTGACTAGTCTTGATATGAACTTGAAATGACGCGATACAACACAAAAACACATGAGTCTACTGCCTGGGACCAGCAACTGGATAACGGAAATTTTAAGGGAAAATTGAAAAACAGAATTCAGCGTGATCTGCATTAAATACTTACTTCCTAAACAGTGGTGATACGATGAAGTGCTAAGATCCACTTGTCAATTAATGATGCTAATAAGCATGCGAGTCCATTGTGATTTAAAATAGTGGGAGCTAATAACTAGAGTTTCTAAATTTTGATAACCTTTCTGGTTTTTGGAAACAAATTTGATAACCTTTAAATGTTAACAAGGATTTAAAGTACAAGCGTATTTTTTTGAACTCTGCATCAAAGAGTCAAACCTGAAAAAAAACCCAAAATTTCAAAATACACCTAGCTTGAAGCAAACATTTATCTGCCGAAAGCTTTAAGCCTTCTGTTTCATTTAACTTCTCGAGTATGGACATATTCAGAACGTAGAAGTAAATACTCAACTAAACAGCTACAACTCTGCACATACGTGTGCATGATCGCACACACAGGGAGAAGCATGGCTTCTGATAGGGGAAGAGGCATAGAAGTCAGACAGCATAAACCAACAGATTGTAGTGTAAGCTATCTTTCATCAAAATTAAGGAGAAGGGAGGAGGAGGAAACAGACAGAAAGATCACAATTATAACATCAGACAAAAAAATATATATGAGTATAACCTGAAAAGTTAAAACTCACGGAGATTATCAAAAGCTATCAAAAACAGGTCACCTGCTTAGGCCAGGAAGAAGATAACGAGTTCTGCAGTTCCATGCGTTTGCCAGCTATGCCATTCAAACTCTCTTTCAACTTAACTTCATGGTGCTTCTTTGCTTCCAATGAGCTCACTAATCTGTCTAGAAACCTGAAATTGAGGTTGACATAAATTAATCCTTCTACTTGAGTTCACCGACCAGAAACACAAGAAAAAATTTGGAGTTGAGTAGTTACATTTTATAGTTTAAGGATAAAGGTAAGGCTACTTAAGTATAAATTAACACGCTTAATATTATAGCTACAGCAGAAGAGAAATGTAACCTGTACCCACTCATTAAGACCATTTACAAAATAAAAGTATCTGAAATACAACTAGCCAATTGTATAAAATTGCAACAAGTAGACTAAAACCTTAAGAAGAAACAGCAAAAATATCTGAGGGTATAAAGGATCTTACATATGTAAGTAACACACAATTAGAGGTAACCATGCAAAGAAAGGATAAAAATAAGATCATACAAGTACATTATCCCGATTTATCACCTAATTATGTCATGCTAGACAAAAACGTACATACTAGATGCTAATATATACAGATTGTCTTTTTGCCACACAAATTGTCTGTTTGCCACACAAACTTAGCAGGAAACTTTGTTCAAGTTAACTAAATACTGTCACTCTTTCTGCTTTTCGAAACAGTTGGATTTTTTATTGGAAGCTCAAGGTATACATACCTAACAAGTTCGGAAAAGCCACAAATCCAGTCAAAATATTTGGTATTACCTTTTGGAGTTGAGAATCATAATCAAGTCCCGTGTCTTCCTATTCGTCAGCAGGGAAATAGCCAAGGAAACTTCAGATAGCATTGTCTCAATAGCATCATGAGCATATTGTTGCAGCACAAAGGGGGCAGCTGCCTGGACTTGATGTTGCAAGGACAAAGTATCCTCATTCTTTAACTCAACTAACCGCTGATTTAAAAAGGCTTTGACCTGATAGTAGAATATCAATAGAGAACATCAATTCATGGGAGGGAAGCTCCATGATGAGACCAAAAAAAAAAAACAAAATGGTGCAAATAAATCCAACGCAGGTATATGACAAATTTGTTATAAACAGACCTCATTCAGATCATCAAGAATCTTGTTCCTATACTCCGTCTCCAAAAGTTGGCTCCTGCCTTCATGGATTTCAGTTGTTTGAGTTGAAGTATCAAGAGCAGATGTTTGATTGTCCACTATTACATTTGACAAATTGAGACCATCAATCACATTAACCTGAGGAGTTTCAACACTAATATCCCAAGATATCTCTGACACAGAGGCCTCTGGGATCAGATCAGATTTTACAGCTTCGTTTGAAGAACTCTGCACCTCACTTGCATTAACCATTTCGTACGGACCCAAACCATTACCAGTATCATCTGTTTCCTCCACCGTATCCACCGTACCAATATCCCAATCAATCTGAGAACTTTCCACAGAAAAATCCCAATCTATATTATCTTCATTTATTTCTACATCCACCGCCACATTGTTTATCTCATTGTTGCTTGATTGAACATTCCCGGAATCAACAACCTCTGAGCCCACAGGGACATTCAATGATGGAGGATGTTCACGTAAATTTTTCAAGTTTGTCAACACAGCCAAAGATTTCTGTGATCACATTCACAAATAAGAGAATTGATTTATCATATTAGTAACACTGATCTCAACTTCATCAACATCAAGCAGATAAAAATCATTATTTCCTTACATCCTTTTCTGTGTGAGCATCTCTGACAAAGTTAGAATAATACTCCATTGCTCCCGACACAGAATCACCATTTAACACTTCCATGATCCTACTAAATGTGCTTGGAAGTGACTTTGCTGTCTCTAAAAGTTCCAACCTCACGTTTTTTCCCTAAAGAAAGAATACGACAGGCAGATACAATTATACATCAACTTTAAGAGGGAAAACTAGAAAACCAAGTCAGAAAACCATGAGTTGTGGGGTCTACAATATAACCTGCAGTCCAAGCTCTTGGCAAGCCTCTACATACTTGGCTACTGATAAAGCTGCACTTCTCTTGATATCGGCTTCCTTGTGGTCTAGTTCTGCTAATTGTTGCTGAATCTTTTGCACCTGCTTCTTCTGATATGGACTTGATAACACAGGCAAAAGAAATCGATACAAATCACATTCACAACAATGAAATGCTATTAATATCTACCCAAGAAATAAATAAACATCATTAAACTATTCTTATCATGAACCAAGCAGCCAATGGCAATACGAATACCACCTACTTACATCTCATAGTTCACATTTTGCACCATTATTTGAGCAGCCTCGCCGAGATATACATAATCCTTCTCAAACGAACGTACAATCGATTCCCAAGCACCCTGCCCAAACAAAACATAAAAACAAAAAGATTCAACATTGCAAGTAAAGTAGGTGAATTTACATAGGAAATGCACTTAAAGAGAGAGTCAAAGGTCTCACAGCAGCACCCGATAGCCGGCCGAAAATATTCCGACTTTCTGGAGCTGACTTCACAAGAATGTCATATATTTGTTTGGCCTCTAAGTACCCAATTCCTGAAAATACCATTCCAGTTGACAACTTAAACCGAAAATTACAAATTTTTACAGAACCCAATGCAAATTTAAAATCATTTAAAATCACAATTAACACGGATTAAGTTTGAAAAACCAACCATCCGATTCCAAGCTATGGAAGTAGGGATCGATATCTTTGGGAAGAGAAGCAAATTCCTTTGAAATTCGAGCCCTCACCGCCGCCAATCGTTTCCTCCAATCTCCGGGTATTCTCTTCCGATCAACGAGCCATTCTTCAATTCAATCCCAACGTATTAAATTATCAAAACCAAATTAAAATTTTGAAAAAAATTGAATTGTGATGGCCTTGTGTACCTCCGAGACGAGAAAAGGTGATGTCGATTGGGAGCTTTCCAATGTCGTCGGGGGTCGGCATTTTCCGGGAAAAGCAGTTTGTTTTCTCAGAATCTCAGGTTTGTTTGTGATTTGAGAACGAAGGGAGTGATGGACTGAAAGTCTGAAAACGGTGCATGAGGTTTTATGGATTAACGGGTCGGGCCATGGTGAACGAATTAGTTTTAATTAACATAGTCATGAGCCCGCCAAGAAAAACATCAAGGATTAAATATTGGTCCTACAAAATCATCCTGAAATTTGAAATTAATAGACATGATCTTTAAGATTGTCAACCATCATTTATTTTTGGTTATTTTATAAAAAATTATAGTAAATAATGATCAAAATGATAAAAATATCCTCAATTTGACAAACAATAAGCCAAAATGATTTGACAAAAAAATTGAGAGTATTTTTATCATTTTATTCTTATTTCATGTAGATTTTTTATGGAATAACCAAAATGATTGATAATGGACAATCTCATAAACCACTGTGAACACGGAAAATTCCTGAAAACGAGAGACAGGATAACGTGTACAAAATAATATTTTTTGTTTGTTTGATTTTGGGGTTACGATCTCTCAAATTTGGTCCTCTGGTTTGATCTCCGTAAGATGTAGATTTGTTGATCCAAGGGCCGTCGAGGCTTGATCTTGGATGAACAGTTGTAAGTTTTTTCAAGGGCCTTCGGGGCTTGATTTTGAAGGTTGATGGATGAGCGGATCTTCAAGGGCTTTTGGGCTTGATCTTGAAGAACGGTTGGTTTTCTTCAAGGGCCGTCGAGGCTTGATCTTGAATGAACAGTTGGTTTTCTTCAAGGACTTTTGGGCTTGATCTTGAAGAATAGATGTGTGGATTTGTTTGTTGATCCAAGGGGCCGTCGGGGCTTGATCTAAGGATGAACAGTTGATGAATGGATCTTCAAGGGGCGTTGGGCTTGATCTTGAAAGATGGGTGTATGGGTTTGTTGAGGTTGTTAATCCAAAGGGCCGTTAGGGCTTGATCTTAGGATGAACGGATGATGAACGATGAACACTTTCTTCAAGGGCCGTCGGGGCTTGATCTTGAATAATGGTTGTGTGGATTTCTTCAAGGGCTTTTGGGCTTGATCTTGAAGGTTGATGGATGAGCGAATCTTCAAGGGCTTTTAGGCTTAATCTTGAAGAACGATTGGATGTGTGGATTTGTTGAGGTTGTTGATCCAAAGGGCCGTTGGGGCTTGATCTTAGGATGAACGATGAACACTTTCTTCAAGGGCCGTCGGGGCTTGATCTTGAATAATGGTTGTGTGGATTTCTTCAAGGGCTTTTGGGCTTGATCTTGAAGGTTGATGGATGAACGGATCTTCAAGGGCTTTTGGGCTTAATCTTGAAGAACGATTGGATGTGTAGATTTGTTGAGGTTGTTGATCCAAAGGGCCGTTGGGGCTTGATCTTAGGATGAACGATGAACACTTTCTTCAAGGGTCGTCGGGGCTTGATCTTGAATAATGGTTGTGTGGATTTCTTCAAGGGCTTTTGGGCTTGATCTTGAAGGAGGATTTGACGAAGAACGAAGAGTGCTTTCTTGATCCTTCGGGATTTTCTTGAGAGCTTTAGAACTTTAAGGCTTCAAGGTTTTGGTGTTTGGGTTTGTGGATGAGTTGTTGATCCAAAGGGCCGTCGGAGCTTGATCTAAGGATGAACAGTTGATGAATGATGAACACTTTCTTCAAGGGCTGTCGGGGCTTGATCTTGAGTTGGTGGAAGTTCTTCAAGGGTCGTCGGGGCTTGATCTTGAAGGAGGATTTGACGAAGAATGAAGAGTGCTTTCTCCATTCTTCGGGATTCTTGGGAATTTGGGGGTTGGATGCTTGAGAGCTTTAGAGTTTCAAAGCTTCAAGGATTTTGGATGTGTGGAGAGTATTCTCTTCCATTTTGGGAGTAGAGAAATGTATTTGTGAATTGGTGTTGGTGTGAATTGGTTTGTGCTGTTGATCCAAAGGACCGTTGGGGCTTGATCTTAGGATGAACGATGAACACTTTCTTCTAGGGCCGTCGGGGCTTGATCTTGAGTTGGTGGAAGTTCTTCAAGGGTCGTCGGGGCTTGATCTTGAAGGAGGATTTAACGAAGAACGAATAGTGCTTTCTCCATTCTTCGGGATTCTTGGGAATTTGGGGGTTGGATGCTTGAGAGCTTTAGAGTTTCAAAGTGTTGGAAATATGCCCTGAAAGTCAATCTTTGGAAGAAACCTTTCAGGACAATGAATTGATGTATATATGACTCTTATACATCGGAAGGCAAAGATACTAATTAGGACTATCTCAAAGAACAAAATATGTCCTAAATAGTGAATCCATGGACAATGGATCAATGGAAGAAGTAACCTAATGATGTTAGATTACAGAGACCTTCTTCTCATAACCATCATGTCCAAAAAGGTTCCTGGTCATAAGGATTGTCGGAGGGATACTGACAATCCATAGACTGGTACATACTATGTCCGCTTCAATTGGAAGGATGGAAAGTCTCATCCCATTCGTGTAGCGACACTAAGACAAGCATGTAGGTGCTCATTAAGGGAATGAGTTCATTGAACACAATCAAACGAGAGTACTTGCATGGAGGTCTACTCACATGTCAAGCAAGTAACTCTAATGGTTGGAATAATGTAAGTAATCCTTTGACCTGAGGCATCGTCGTTGTCTTGTGGTTAAGTACTTAATCTTTGATTATGTTAAAGTCATTCCATACGCGAGTGTCCAAGGCATCGTTGGGGTTAAGCCACTTAGCCATGAAGGCAAGTGAATGCGCAACAAGGAATCTCTAATCCTCGATAAGAAAGGATGAATACTCTAAGATATGATTCGGGAATCTTCGGCCGAAGTATCGAGCGTAATAAAGGAAAGCGTTCCTATACGTCTCAAATGAATCGTATAAGAAGGAATAATCACATTAGGGGTTTGACATTATAAATTCCATACCCTAGTGATGTGATTGAGAGTATTGTTTTAGAGAATGATCGAATTACATTGTAATTCCAACTGAATAGGTTCTCCGAATAAACTTCTACATTAGCTTGGGTAGCCATGATATATGTTTAGATGTCACTCATGGCTTGTGAGTTCTTCTAGATGATTAAATGTAGTCATCAAAGAAGAAGGTGAATTAAAAGTAAGTTTTAATTCACTAAGTGGATGGATTAAATATAATCAATTGGATTGGTGCCAATCACCTCACTGCCTTGCTAATTAGAACCTAAAAGATTGTTCACCAATACACTCTTGTAGTGAGTAACTAATGGATGATGGAAATAATTAATTGGATTAATTAAGTGTTTTGATTAATTTAGAAAGTCTAAAAGAAATCATAAAAGCGATAAAGATCGTTTTGGGCTTAAAGAAACGTTCGGGTTTAATTAGGCTCATTGGGCCAAAACCCATTGGGCTTTTATTCAAGCATTGGATGACTTGAAATAATTAAAAGGCCAAAGCCCAAACCAAACACAAAGGGCCGGCCAAAGAGAGGGAGAGAGAAGGTCAATTGTTGACTTGTTTCTTTATGTAATAAAAGGAACATAATAATGAAAGAAGAGTTAGTGTGTTTAGATTATTCAAAACACAAAAGAGAAGAGAATATCAAACTCTCTCTAGCAACAAGGGCCGGCCACCATGGGGGAGTTTTTAGCTAATCATTTCATCACCCCTTTGGTTATTCCTTCATCCTTCTCACTACACTAGTGGGTGAGGATCTTTAGAGGTTTTCAATTTTGGAAACTTGAAGAGGACCTAGGAGCACTCATTCTCAACAAAGTGGAGGAGGCAAGGAGGGAGGCTAGGCTCAAGGAGTTCAAGGAGCAAAGAGCTTGGAGGTGGTCAATCCTTGGTCTAAGATCTAGATCAAGAGGTATAAAACTACTCCTAAACTTTGTTCTTCAATGAATTGTTTTTTATGCATCATATATAAACCTATGCATCTTGAAGGGGATTTGCATGACTATAGCTTTGATAAAATGTATGACATGCTTCCGTTGCTTTCGTATATAAATTTTGAATTGTATATGCATGCTAGTCACTAGAAATCCCACATGAATCTCATAGATTTCCCTTCAAGTGGTATCATGAGCCAAAGGTTTATATTTGATGTGTCCTTTTGGATTTTATGCATATGGGTATTAATTTTATGTTTGACATATTAGTTCTTCATTCAAAGTATGTTTATCTTTTGTTTTTCAAATGTTGAAAAATTGTGAATCAATAGTTGAAAAGATATGTATGCAAAAGGTGTTTTGGATGCATGAATGAAGAGTGAGTTTAGAACAATTTTTTGGGGTTTTGAATCATAGGGAGGGCACGGCATAAGGGGATTTTTTGGCTATGTGTTTGTGTTTTGTTTTGAACCTCACACACACACTTTGAAGCTAGAAAAATGTGTTCTTGAAGTTCTTGATTATGTTCTTGGTGTTCATGGTTTTGTTTTTTGAAAATAGTTTTATTTAAGTTCATAAATTGTTTTATGGATTTGGATGATATTCTTATCATCAATATTTATTACAAGGTTTTTTCAATCCTAGACTTCTTTAGGATATTTTAAAACTTTTTCCCTAATTTTTCTTAAAGCAAAATCAAGTGCAAGCATAATTTGAATTCTTTTTCTTCTTTATGTTGAAATAATGCAAGGTGGGTGAGACCTACCCACTTCCCCCCTCATTTGGCCGGCCAACTCAAGTGGTTTTCCCACTTGAGGGTTCTTTTGTAATCATGAAAAGTTTGATATTACTTTTAGTATTTATGGTTTGACCCCTAACTTTTTCATATTTGCATTTAGACCCCTACTATTTAAAAATTGAAATGTTTGATTTTAATTTTGTTTAATGTTTAAACTCATCATTGAATTATGCCCATATGCACTAAATCTAATTGTTTATATGTTGCATTCCATTTGATTATTTAATATGATTAAGTAGTTAGAAAATGGGTGACTATGGACTTATGCCTTAAACGATAATTGAGCTATGAGATAAGGCGCTAAAATCAAATTGTTTGAACCTTGGGAATGTGTTTTAATTACTGTTTCAATTGGACCTTGTCACGTTTCGACATTAATCTATCTCTCCCTCTTAGTATGTGTAATTTGTAGGAATTTGTACAAATCGGTTTGTAATTCTTATTACTTCTTAATCTCTTTTAGTTAGTTGATTCCCTCTAGTGCTAGACTAGAGTTTCTTTAACTATTGGTAAGGAGACATAACTAAAAGAGGGTTTTGACATGAGATTCAAGATTAAATGGGTCCAACGCCCTAATAAGCAATGAATGATTGTCTTTCATTTCTAATGGCTCAATGAAAATGTTTTAATTGGATGGAAAAGCACGTAATTAAAATGACACAACCTCCCCGAGATCTTATTCAACAATGTTGGCTCGTTGTTGCAATAACCAAATAAGTCCATGGTCATCCAAGAGCCTAAGATAACTATAAAGTCCAATTTCAAAGGATTGCAAAAACCGTAGTAGTAGTAGTTACTTCCAATATTTGAAAAATTCGTTTTTGATATTGATTTGTTTTTCTCAAAACAAATAGTGGGAGTATCATACGCTACTAAACTATAATGATTTCAATTAGTAGTTATATATATCTCCAATATTTTGAAAAATGTTTTGATATTGATTTGTTTTATGAAAACGAATAGTGGGGATATCATATGCTACTAATTTCATTAACTTTGGACTAGTAGTTGTAATAGGACAATTTATTTGAATATGTTTAAATAAATAAAATTGATGAGACCTTAAAATCCCTCAACCAACAAAGAATATTAAGTTGATAAACGAGAAATGTTTTGAACATTTCTTCGTAGGCCTTCCACCGTGGTGGGCTCCAATCGTTTGTGACTCATGCACCGACTTCACCCTATAATGGGGAAGTACAAAGTATGGGCTTACATCCAGGAGGAGTCCATAAACATATGATGAGGTGAGTGTAGACAACGAGTATGACCAACATGATATAATTCTGAGGTTGTGCTTGAACCTCTACATAAACTAAGCATGGTGGGAATAACTTAACTAAGTGCAATGGTGCCAACATGATATAATTCTGAGGCATTCATTCTCTAGAGGCCAAACTAGATGGGCAATTACAAGAGTTGTAAATGAATAAAGTGTTATTCTCTCATCATTATTTTTGCTAACCAACATGATATAATTCTGAGGTGGGCTTGGTAATGGTGAGTCTCCCATACCCCGCTAAGAGTTCAACATAACTCTCGGATTCTATTTGAGGGATATGGAATTTGCCAAAAATGGTGGGTGGTGTCATTCAGTTCAAAGACCCGAATCGTGTGACTTAATCAACAATCAAACTAATTTATTTTATTGTTTATGTATTTAGATATGGTTGGAAGCACATTCGCGAAAATACTCGACAAACATTGCCTAGAGGGGCACAATTTCCCATCATGGTATCGTAATGTCAAGATTCTCCTAACATTGGAGAAGATTATTTACGTACTTGATAAGCCTCTTCCTGACATACCTCTTGGCCCTGAGGCCACAGAGGATGAACGTGCTAAGTATGACAAGCACGTTGAGGATGATATACAAGCCAAGTGCTATCTGTTGGCTTCCATGAATGAGGAGCTACAGAGACAGCACGAGGGCATGGACAGTGCATTTTCCATAATACTCCATCTTACGGAGTTATATGGTGAAGGGACGCGCAACCGTCGCTTTAACACTGTTTGTGAACTTGTGAAGACCAAGATGGTCAAAGGGGCTCCAGTGCATCAACATGTACTGAAGATGATAGGATTCATAGAACAACTGGAGAACCTAGGTACTCCACTTGACGGGGAATTGGCCCAGGACTTTATATTGGCTTCTTTTCCTGATTCATTTTCGCAGTTCGTAATGAACTACAACATGAATAAGATGGATCATACTCTCTCTGAGTTACTAAACATGTTAGTAACTGCTGAGAAAACTATGATGAAAGAGAACGTTGTAGGGACTTCTGCAGTAGCCTACAACAAGCCATCCTCTTTCAAGTCTATGCCGCAAGGCAAAGGAAAGGAGAAGAAGTCACCCACTCTTAAGCCGAAAGAGGGAGTGAAGAAAAAGAAGGCAATGGAGCCCAAGGGGGCTTGCCACCACTGTGGAAAGGAGGGGCATTGGAAGAGGAATTGCAGGTTATACCTTGCAACTCTTAAGGACAAGCCACAAGGTATGGTTTATGTTCTCATCTTCAATTCTAATTGTTAGATCTTCTAAATATTTATATTTGATATAAAGTGCTAATCACTTGTATAATTGTATATAGGTGGAGGAGCTAAGTAGAAGAGGAACAAGCAAATAAAAGAGTGGAGAAGGGTTCAGTCACCATGTTTTTGCTTACTACTTGGGAAGTTTGTTTAGGCATTTAAAGATTGTCTTTAAACTTTCTTATTGTGTTAAGAACTTATTATGTGGCTTCATATGATGGAAGACCACTATTAATGCCTAAATGTTTGAAGGTACTTAAATAAGTCTCTAAATGTTTAGAGATAATTCCTTTTAAGTTAAACATTGTGAATGTTTGTGTTATCATATTAATGTAATGTGATGAATGCCTTCTAATAAATAAAATATTTCCTTAAAGTAATGTTATGAATTGAAGATTGTCTTGTTGTATCCTAGATGAGATACATGATTATAATGATATTAGAAATAAGAAAAACGTTTCTTATATGGTTATCACTTAAACCACAATAATCAAGATCACTCTTGATTCAATTAGTAGTTTTGAACAATTAATTGGACATTCTTAAAATTGTTTTAAAATGTCAAGTGTGTTAGTGATTAAACCAAAAATTTAAGTGTCTAAATCAATAAAATATTTAAAGGTTTTATTCACTTAATAACAAGACATCAACTTAGTGAAGAGTGAAACAAATGAGCTTGAAAGGTTTTAAAGCTACTACACAATGTCCTCAACCCGTATACTCCACGTTTATACAATTTTTTGAATGTATGAAATGATTTCTCATTAAAGTCATGAGAAATAGTGGGAGGTGAGAAATTGGATATAAACTTGAATATGATTGGTTTATAGTTGTCTAAATAATAATAGTACTTGACTATTATTGAGAGTTTATAATTTTAATTGTTAAAAGACTCAAACTCTACAAAACATTAATATTCTATGTTGTGTAACATTCTAAAGAATAGTCTTTGAATGTAGGTTTCGTCAACCTAGCATAAAATGGTTATATGTTGGGAGTTGTCCATCATTCTCTTTTATGAGAACAAGCTAAATAACAAAGCATATGGACAAGTTGATGAAACAAAAGGGAATAGTTTCAAAATGAGTCACAACATATAGTTTAACAACAAGACAATCCGAATTCGTCACCTTATGTAACTATAACGCTCTATGTAGTTTTTGATAAAGAATTATATCAACCACCTAGAAGGAATGGTTGAGTTTCTATATCCTTAGTAGAAGCCTTGCTTTCACTAAAGACTTGGATAATTCTTATATGACTACATTAAATTCTTAGTATGACTAAAACTTGAAGAATGGTGTATGACACCATTTAAATGATTCATTTAAATAACTTGTGTTAGCTAGCGTTGTTGATAGTCTCAAAATTGTTGAGACATCATTAATAAGCTAATCGATCTCAATGATTGTCAATAGATCCAAAACAAGTTAGTGGGAGCAATATGCATTCAAATCAAGAAAATTTAAGTGTTAGGTTTTGAATGAATGCTAAGTTACAACAAGCCCAATGGGAGTGATGTCATAATTTGAGCAATAAGATATGAATAAAGTCTATTTGATAGACTTGATCAAACCTAGATGTTACTCGAAAAATGACAAGACATGACACGGTTAATTTTAAGTATAGACTTGAAATTGGACTTATTGATATAACAAAGGCTATCTCAAGGAAGTTATATGGGGAAATTAAATCTCAAATGTTGAAGATTTAAGAAAGCATTTTACTATATGATAGAAAATCACTTTCATAACCCTTATAATAAATGTGTCATAAAATCACAAAAGGGACACATGTATGGACTTGTGAGTAAATATCAAAAGGTGAAAAACCACATGGGTTGTCACTTTAAGATATTACTATATCCCAGGATCAGAACCATAGCAACTGAAAGAGTATTATTGCCTTTAAGAAAGGAACATCAGAGTGGGACTCTAGAAGCGTGCATTCACTTAGGTTATGAACCAAAGTGAAAATAATCCATTTTAAACAAATGGAACTTCATAATGAATGAAGTACTAATCGTATGAATATATTGATAGTATTGTACTACAATGGTCTCAAGGATTGGAGCAAAGTTTGTATAAAGTATACAAACGAAATATATGTCGATATATTGTTTTAGAAACTGCTTAAAAAGGTGTTTTGAATGGAAGGGGTTCTTTTAGAACCAATGATTGAATCCAAACCATAAGGTCGTTAGTAGGATACTACGACGTAATGGGGCGATAGCTCAAGCCATGGAATCAAGGTCTCATCAAAGTATTCGAACACAAGAAAGAGACATCATCAAAATGTTTTAGAAACATTTGATAAGTAAATCCCTTTTTAAAATTAAAAAAAAAGGTGATTAAATACATAACCAAGTTAACCTACGAGCATAAGCTCACTCAAGTAGCATGTATAAGATACACTAGTGATTGACTTTAGTGCAAGTGGGAGATTGTTGGAAATATGCCCTGAAAGTCAATCTTTGGAAGAAACCTTTCAGGACAATGAATTGATGTATATATGACTCTTATACATCGGAAGGCAAAGATACTAATTAGGACTATCTCAAAGAACAAAATATGTCCTAAATAGTGAATCCATGGACAATGGATCGATGGAAGAAGTAACCTAATGATGTTAGATTACAGAGACCTTTTTCTCATAACCATCATGTCCAAAAAGGTTCCTGGTCATAAGGATTGTCGGAGGGATACTGACAATCCATAGACTGGTACATACTATGTCCGCTTCAATTGGAAGGATGGAAAGTCTCATCCCATTCGTGTAGCGACACTAAGACAAGCATGTAGGTGCTCATTAAGGGAATGAGTTCACTGAACACAATCAAACGAAAGTACTTGCATGGAGGTCTACTCACATGTCAAGCAAGTAACTCTAATGGTTGGACTAATGTAAGTAATCCTTTGACCTGAGGCATCGTCGTTGTCTTGTGGTTAAGTACTTAATCTTTGATTATGTTAAAGTCATTCCATACGCGAGTGTCCAAGGCATCGTTGGGGTTAAGCCACTTAGCCATGAAGGTAAGTGAATGCGCAACAAGGAATCTCTAATCCTCGATAAGAAAGGATGAATACTCTAAGATATGATTCGGGAATCTTCGGCCGAAGTATCGAGCGTAATAAAGGAAAGCGTTCCTATACGTCTCAAATGAATCGTATAAGAAGGAATAATCACATTAGGGGTTTGACATTATAAATTCCATACCCTAGTGATGTGATTGAGAGTATTGTTTTAGAGAAGGATCGAATTACATTGTAATTCCAACTGAATAGGTTCTCCGAATAAACTTCTACATTAGCTTGGGTAGCCATGATATATGTTTAGATGTCACTCATGGCTTGTGAGTTCTTCTAGATGATTAAATGTAGTCATCAAAGAAGAAGGTGAATTAAAAGTAAGTTTTAATTCACTAAGTGGATGGATTAAATATAATCAATTGGATTGGTGCCAATCACCTCACTGCCTTGCTAATTAGAACCTAAAAGATTGTTAACCAATACACTCTTGTAGTGAGTAACTAATGGATGATGGAAATAATTAATTGGATTAATTAAGTGTTTTGATTAATTTAGAAAGTCTAAAAGAAATCATAAAAGCGATAAAGATCGTTTTGGGCTTAAAGAAACGTTCGGGTTTAATTAGGCCCATTGGGCCAAAACCCATTGGGCTTTTATTCAAGCATTGGATGACTTGAAATAATTAAAAGCCCAAAGCCCAAACCAAACACAAAGGGCCGGCCAAAGAGAGGGAGAGAGAAGGTCAATTGTTGACTTGTTTCTTTATGTAATAAAAGGAACATAATAATGAAAGAAGAGTTAGTGTGTTTAGATTATTCAAAACACAAAAGAGAAGAGAATATCAAACTCTCTCTAGCAACAAGGGCTGGCCACCATGGGGGAGTTTTTAGCTAATCATTTCATCACCCCTTTGGTTATTCCTTCATCCTTCTCACTACACTAGTGGGTGAGGATCTTTAGAGGTTTTCAATTTTGGAAACTTGAAGAGGACCTAGGAGCACTCATTCTCAACAAAGTGGAGGAGGCAAGGAGGGAGGCTAGGCTCAAGGAGTTCAAGGAGCAAAGAGCTTGGAGGTGGTCAATCTTTGGTCTAAGATCTAGATCAAGAGGTATAAAACTACTCCTAAACTTTGTTCTTCAATAAATTGTTTTTGATGCATCATATATAAACCTATGCATCTTGAAGGGGATTTGCATGACTATAGCTTTGATAAAATGTATGACATGCTTCCGTTGCTTTCGTATATAAATTTTGAATTGTATATGCATGCTAGTCACTAGAAATCCCACATGAATCTCATAGATTTCCCTTTACAAAGCTTCAAGGATTTTGGATGTGTGGGGAATATTCTCTTCCATTTTGGGAGTAGAGAAATGTATTTGTGAATTGGTCTTGTGTGTGAATTGGTGTTGGTTTGTGAATTGGTGTTGGTTTATGAATTGGTGTTTTTTCCTCTTGATAGAGAAGCCTATTTATAGGCTTTGAGAGTGAATCACCACCATTCATTTTTTTGGTGAAGTGAGTGGATGTTGTAGGTGAAGTAAATGGAGTTGGTAGGGTGAAGTAAGTGTGTGAGGTTGGTGAAGTAAATGGAGTTGGTAAGGTGAAGTAAATGGAGTTGGTGGGTGAAGTAAATGGAGTTGGTAGGGTGAAGTAAGTGTGTGGGGTTGGTGAAGTAAATGGAGTTGGTAAGGTGAAGTAAATGGAGTTGGTGGGTGAAGTAAATGGAGTTGGTAGGGTGAAGTAAATGGAGTTGGTGGGTGAAGTAAATGGAGTTGGTAGAGTGAAGTAAATGGAGTTGGTAGGGTGAAGTAAGTGTGTG